GTGTTCCCATGTTTCCATGAGGGCGTGATTTACCAGGAGGGCGATGAAAGGAAAGAAGACTGCAATACCTGGTAGGTTATTAGTGAATGTAGTGGACATTTCGTTACGTAATACTAAAGATGAACTAGATACGTTTATTATTAATTCTTATTCAAAAAGCTATATTTCATTATGCTAACACCTGGGTTCGAAGTCGCTTATTTTCAAACATATATTATATATTCTTGTTTAATTTTGTTGCATTGCTTGATGGATTCAGTTATAGTGTGGGCGTTGAACCCAATATTTACATGCCAATCGTTTGGGACATTTCAATTCATAACGCATCTGTAAATTGGAAAGCGTACATGCAACCAGTAAGCATGTAAGCGAAAGCAACTTCAAAAGAGCGGATGAAGCCAGAAGGAGTAAACAAACTGTGTTAGTATTACAAAAATATTTAGTGACACTGACAGAAATGAGCGAGTGTCAAACAGCTCTACAAGTTATGATACACCCTGTCTAGGGCTTATTATTTTTAATTTTTCTGTCCAAATATTTGTACTTAATATGGCAGTTTATTCAATTAAACTATTTTCAAATGTTTGGTTACTATCATTACATTCATAACATGTTATTGAACTGCGAAAAAGATCAATAATTGGTTGCATGGTAATTCCCACATTTTACCCTATGTAAAACAATTTTCCAAATAAAACAAACAATTTTCCAAATAAAATAAACAATTTTCCAAATAAAACAAAGCCAGCAATGCTTCGATGTCATGTAGTCGAATAGCCTAGCCCTGAGTACAGTCTTGTAGGTTGGCCTCCTTCCGCTGATCATTCGGCCCCCACAGTACTGAGAAGTCACATAGACCGAGGATTCGACACCCGCCTACAAATTTATGGCGGAGAGCCGTTCTGCAGTTTTCATGATTGTAACCAGCTAAAACATCTATCGACCAATCTAGAGATCACAAATACCTTTTTTGTGGCCGAAAAATGCGACTTCTACGGACTGTGCTGAATGATCATTGGAGGAAGGCCAACCTACAGAACTGTACTCAGAGCTATCGAATAGCCGTGGCTGTTGGCACCAGTCGTATTATAAGTTTCATAATCCGTAACCGGAACCTAAATCTCGCTGCTATACACATATTTGGTGCATTTGGTGTCACGTCTCTCAATTTTCTATTCTTAGCTGCATTACATATATATATTGTTGAATTCAAACAATTGAGTAATTTACAGTAATGTGGCAGTTGTGCCGGCCGACACTGTTTTTTGCAACTACAACACTGCATGATTTCTTATTAACCAGGTTTTGAGTCATATTGTTGCATCATCACTATTATAGCTTTTGAATACATACTGTAAAACGTGTCTTTTTTCGCGAGCATGTCTTTTTCGCGAATTTAGCGAGAGAACTCATTCGCTAATTCAAGATGTCGCTAATGACTTTATTATAAATTCAAAATGGCCGCCAAACAGAGAAATCAACAATGACAAGAGAGATTCGCTAAATCAACATTTTACCACAATTTGCTAAAATTGCATGCCGCTTTTTCGACATGTTTTACAGTACGTTTAACAACCAAGTACTTATAAACGTTAAAACGCTACATTTCCCAGGTTGGATCACGAGGGCGCTGACAGATGGTCATTTCAATGTTTCTATATGATCTTATGAGAAATCCATTCTGGATGATATTAGGACCCTATGCAATGTCAAGGGAATTAAGAAAGAAATGAAGAAATAATAATATTGCAAAAAGTTCTAAAGCGATTGCTATAATTATAACATCTTAGTTTGATTGATAATGTCAAATCGCAGTCGACACAAAATAATGAATGCTACCTTGTCTTTCCTATTTCGTTACCAAAACGTATCCACCAAATTCGGCTTCGTGCTTAATGATCCGTTTCAGCCTTGTGTCAAATCAACGTTTCTGAAGTGCCAATCCAAGCAGTCAACAGTCTGTGTGTATAATGATTCTATAGTGGCCAGTTGAACTATTATAATAACACATGTAAACCAACTACTGAAATTACATCAGTCTAATGACAATGATTATATCCTTTGACAGTTACTGTACGAGCGATGGAACCTGGGTGTGCACAAAGATTCTGTGTGGGGATACAGGTACGTTTTATTTAACAACGTATATTGTTATGTTCTAGATATTCGGACCAAAGCAAATGACAAAATTGCCCTAGTTACAATCTTCTACATTTAATACAACTACGTATCTCAGAAAGCTGATGGGAAATTTGAATTGCCTTAAGTTAAACTTGGAAACTACTGTAAAAACAAGTCATGTGAAACAAGTTTGGAAATCTCGTTTTATTCATAAAATATATCATGTATATGGATGTTATTGACAATAAAGGTGATTATTACATCCATAAAATATTATAAAATTAAAATAATTTATTTCATTTCTTTTTACAGTTATCGAGGCAGTCGAGCTCGAGGCTACCGCTGAAAGACTGACAATAGGCTGAGCTAACACTTGATTGAATTCATCTATTTAAGTCATCCTTTAATCGGCAAACCCCTTCTTCGCAAATAAACTATACGATCAATAACTATGGCTGGTTACGACAGCTAATTAATATTCAATAATCGTTCCTTTGAATTTATTCAAATAAACTCGGCCTGTAAATAATGTTGTTGTTGTTGTTGTTGTTCTTGTTGTTGTGCTGCTGCTGCTGCTGTGATGATGATAGTGCCACTGATGCTATTGTACATCTTACTTTTGTTAACCACGATGACAGCTTAATTGGTATATATTTCTACTTCGCCTGCAATAAACTGTATTACCTTTATCTATTAGTATCTATCTTTATCGACATGTCATCCCAGATCTCAGCACGTGCGCGTGTTACAGGAAACAGAATACATTAGATGACGTATTTATAGTATGGACAATACATGCTAATTGTGACGTAATTGTGATCACGCTTGGTAGTCAATCACTTGTCTGAGCTTATGTATATCACTTTTCGGACGACAACAATATGACCACCATTGAAGTAAAGTTAAAACATACCCAATTGTAGACTATTCAACACACAACAGGGTACAATAACATTATAGTATACAACAATATTGGCGACAATATTCTGCGCCACTATGTGTGTTTATTGATTTTACGATCATGTTAACGCCCTCTTGTGTTCGCTTTACATTTTGCTACGCATGCTCTGTTCTCTCGTTGTGTTTTCCCCGCCATGTTGGTTCTGTTTTCCCGTTGAGAAATAAACGGAGTTACTTGCTCGTTAGCGCTCCAACCGAAGTGTCTGGTCGTAGTCCAAGCTCTGTATACAACAGGTCTGTGTCCATACTGGCGCTGGATTGCCATCATGAAATTCAAAGGCAACTGTACTATCATAATCCGCTGTCAACCAACATATCCATCAATTCATCCATACTCTGCCTACATCCTACGAACATTCTACTGCCCCTCTCTGACTTCATCACATCACTACACCAACTAAAACAACAGCTGGTTTATTATTCACTTTCCTGTAATATGTACAGGTCACCTTTGAAACGACGCCCGCTATATTGGGAGCGAGAATGACATTTATTGTACCTCCAACTCCAATTTTGTATTTTTTAATATTTTTATGTTAGATAACTCATATGGTACCTTCTGCCATATTTCTTGTTTTAGGTCATCATGAATTGTGGAAACATTTACAAATAATTGTTATCTCTTGCCGTGTTAAATGTACTCTTCAATGTGTACATGTTTCCCGCCACACCGTACGTAAACTGGTTCCAGTCGAGACGATTTTTTTAAACATTGTGGGATTTTCAATTGAGAAAAATATTTTATCCACTCGAAGTGACTGATGGTGTCCGCTCTCTATCAGAATCATAAAAAACTGTTTTTTAGTGTGTACTGTTAATGCTAGTACGGTAGTGAGTAGTTTTCTTTTAACCTATCAGAGGGCGATATGATTTGCGGTAGTGTAGTGTAAGAAGCAAGTAGCCCTCCATCCATCTATACTACAAGCAGACGAAGAGATCGTTGAATATATAGTTCCCGAAATATTATCACGTCTTGCATATAACTAGAGGCAAAATATTTCCAGCCGCGATGAGAAACAATCGCGAGAAGTTGCGCCATTTTTGTGTATGACCTTTAACACGACTGTTGAACTTATTGGACAGAATGTGCACGTGGACTGCATAATCAAATTAAAAATGCATATATGAATACAGCAGACACAACCAGTCGGGGGGATTTCGTGGTGATTAGGGATTTCGCGGCGATAGGGGTATTTCGCGGAAATAGGGGTATTTCGCGGAAATAGTTGGGGCACCTGAGACAGGCAAAAATGACCCCCGACTGTAGCAAGTCTATGCCGTGCTCTGACCAATATTACGTAATTGGCACTGCCGAAGACTTTGGCAATTGCGGTCATCCCTGTTTTCATTATAGTACTTCCCATACCTCATTCATAGAGTGCCATAGTACCAGAGGTCTCCGGGCACGGCCGTACAACCTACTTTGCAACATTGCTACCGGTACATGCTAGCATGTTGCGAGATAAATGTGAACAAGTTTACTTATCATTTACAACTGTATGTTTTTTTATTCCGCTTTCATACTGGAAGCGTCTACGTCTTTTCAGCTTGTTTTGTTGTTGATCTCGTTTGAGGTAAATCAGCGAGCCAGGACAGGAAGTCACAAACTGAGGGCAGCAACTCACTTGCATATAACATCAAAAGCAACATAAACAAACTTTCAGGACTTTTCATCACATACGCGTGCCTCGGTTTCCCATATTTTAAAATCGATTTTTTAGTACGTTCCAACATTGACAAAGCTTCGAAATGTTAATACTACCTAGCCAAGACTGCCTGTTGTGCCGACCAAAGAGTACAAAATGAGACTTTACCGAGTTTAACTATGTATTTCCAAGGTGATTGGAGCTGGGATTGGAGAGTATTGAAGGAGTTACCGGCTGTAATTAGTGCACGTTGTACCCAGGTACTCGTGATTTTCATTAGAAGCACGCATTGGATTGTGGGAAAATACATGTTTACCACACAAATGTCGCACATGAGCAGCGCGATAACCACCGTCCTTCACGCATCTGAAAAATTCAACTTAGAACACGTTTCCAGTTGCCAGGAATTGCCATACACATCCATGTACAACAAAACATTCTTTTCAATTCAGATAAATAAAAAAACAGCTGACTGTAAATGAATATATATTTTATTAATTAACGCCTTGACAGTGATTTGTTTTGTATTCCATTCCTAATGTCCATCTTATTGACCCATGCAGCATAACTAGACCCTCGATCAAATGAATTCAAATGTCACTGTATTTCCATGGTTTGCATACGCTAATTTGGCGTACGTTTACTTTACCTGTCAATTTGACACTTCCGGTTATTTGACAGTCTTGCACGTTTACTATAGGTTGTCGAGACTGAAACATGGTGAACCAATTCTGTTTATTTCAGGTCCACGTGGTGATCCATTTCTTGTGATTCTATGATATTAAAACCAGTTTTCACAATAATTTAAAAGACTTTCTATCAAGACATGGTAAATGTACATGCAGCTACGCAATATATTAGACATATGTTTACAAGCAATATACGACCTTATTCATTGTAAATTACTAAAACTTAACCAGACTGCTTTGAAAGTACACATTTTACTTTTATTCGTTTCTCATAAACATTTTATTAGAAGTAACGGTAACACATTTTTCTATACACAATTTTAAATATTCGGTATTAACTCTGTCTGCCATGTGGTCGCTTAGTTCATAAACCTACCATTTAAGCTTTGTATTTATGTTATATGCAATATAAAATTGAGACAATGTGTCTCAATATCGTTTAAAGCTTGACTCCTGACAACTATATTGCTGCAAATATTATATTTACCCGTGATAAATTACCCAGTGACGTCATAGTCAGCTGGCCAACAAAATCCCGTAAAATATATTTTTTTTTTATATTCCATTATCTCTCTACTACAAAGTTCGTCGCCATCGTCTCCTGTTTTTTTAGGTTTTGGATATGAGTAATATGGCTGTTACAAACCAGTGAATGCATAATTCATCGGGTTCCAAGCCTAGTGGCTTAGTGCCACAATACACACGCTTTATGGATAAGCTGTACTGTCATGTGACACACATAGTGAAATTCAAATTTGTATTGCGTTTTGCATTGGTTAGAATGCGAAATAGTACCATTTCGATTAAAAATGTACAATTTGAGAATTTCAAAATATTACGATTTAAAATAAATGGATTCACATGCATTATCCATGCACTGCAAATATATGTATGGTTTATGCCGTCCAATGGAAAATGACCTCATAAGCATATGTAAAAGTCATAAAAAGTCGTGATGAGAAGAAATGTTGTAATGTCAGGATCATGCACATATATTGGGAGAAATAACATCTGAGCTCAGAAAATGTGAGATACAGAATATATTCTAGGGTCATGCCATAGACGACTTCTTCAGAACTGGATGATAATCGATCCATATTGCATTTTTTTAGTTTTAGCAGAATAAAGAAAAGATGTATTATTTGATAACAATACTTGTAAACGATATGGGGTTGCATTTACATAATCGTGATTGTACAGACGTTTTCCGGATTTCAATGCAATTACTAAAATTTTTATTCAGATCAATAACAACTTAGTGAATGGACCTAGAACCTTACTGACTACAGGGCAGATATGCTGACTATTTGTTACTCACGGCCTTCACCTCACATAAATAATATCGAATACACAACGCCGTACAAAGTACAAATTGACAAAATTAAGCATAAGATGCGTGGACAACTCGAACCGAACACGCACGATAGCAAATCGCGTTTCCCACCCGGCTACAGGGCATCTCTCAAAGGTATGCATATAATTAACTGAGAATACTAAGAACAAATCCCGTGAAACCCCAACCACATCAGTCGTAAGGTTGCGTTTCCACTTTTTCTATCATCCCTCCCATAACTAGCTAAGACATAGAACGTGTAAACAGTTCAAAAAAGATAGATAGACTCTTACCAAATCACTCAATGCATCCCTTAGACGAACAAAGTTGACAAAGTAACCGACCCTCAAAAACAAACAAACCCTTCTAACTCGACGAGAGCCTTATATTTACAAATTAAATTAAAATGAATTAAAAAAAGTCTGCAGTTCATTTTTCATTACCATATGGTGTACATATTGGCCATGGGGTGGTACCGTACATATTTGCAAAGCGGGAATGCTAAGTTAATAGTTTTAACTTTAAATCCAAACCACTGCAAACTGCCAAAACATGCTATTCAGTACTCTAGGCGTATGTCAACATTGTTTGTAACAAAGCACTGAAATAAGATATACGACGTTATTAATGTCAAATTGCTAAACTGTAAATAGGTGTTTTAAACGTTAAACGTATTTTTTAATTGGACAAGCCTGCCTCATGTAGAAGAATTGGAAACACCTGTTTTAGCTTACTGTTTTGAATGCACCGGTATACACTCCACATTTACGCGTTTTTTGTTACACATTATTTGTATTTAAAGCAATATATTTCAGTACATAAGTTTATGTCACGAATTTTATGTTCGTCTGGCTGGTTTCCATTAGTTTATATCCGGTCGTCAAGGTACATGTTTAACTGTCGTGTTGATATACTGGCTTACAGTGTTTGGTTTTTCGGTTCAATGAATTGTTTCGTTTTAATATTGTTCATTGTTATATTGAAATGCAAATCACCGCAACAAATTGTATTCATAAAACCAAATATATTGACATTTTCTAAGTGTGTACTGCACATATCCCGGTGCGTTCGTGCGAAACTCCCAGCTGTTCGTCATTGGTGAGTATTAACCTACTGATTTGAGTTTTCATAATCGGCGTTGCATTGCAGAATATAACCTTCTGTTTGTTAATTGAAGGCTGTTCACAACAGTTCTTGTAGTATTTACGAGTGTTCTTATTACTCATGGAGAAATTTTGCGAGCGTACCCATCGCCTGAACATTGTCCCAGCTCAACACTTTGCAGTTAAAGATAAGGGGAGTTTCTTACTATTAATTTGAAGTAATATAAATATGGAAATTTGGACATTTTCATAGGTTAGAAATAATGTGTTTGAAGTTGCATATCTTTCTCCGTCAACAGAGTAGCTCATACCGCGCATAGACAATGAGTCATCGTAGAGTCAGTGTTTCATCCATCAGTTAATATTAAGTTTATATTTCAGAAACGTGGTTAGTACATGTATCGTTAATCGCATAGTGAACATACGTGACATATACAACACATGTTAATTATTTGGGATTGAAACATTCCAGATTAAACTTCAATCAACTAAGTCCGTTGGAATGCCCCTTTCGCATATTTCGTCTTTCAGAATTCAGTCCTGCCGAATACAGGAAATCAAGGCCAGTGACTTAAAATATTTAGTTGCAATGTTCGATCGCATACGTGCGCATTGTGAATTGGGATGTTTTTAAATAATCCCAATTCGAAGAATGTTCCAGAATTCATAAATTCTCCAAGGAGCGTGCACAACATGCACTAATGCACGAAAGTCAAAGCTTATTGAACTTGCAGAACATGCTGATAAACTAAGTTTTCGTCTCTTCGGTGCCTGGCGATTTTGGAATATCGCGTAAGCCCCGTCGTACTTTGCAAAACCGTTATACGTACAGTTGAAATTTACTTTAGGATTTTTTCAGAAAGTACCAGGGATTGAAAAAAAACACCATCAATAAGAATTATGTGTGCATGGCATAAATTTATTTGTTTGTTACAAACTATATGTACAGACTATATCCTGTAATAAAAACATCCCTGTTATCTTCAGGTTTACGTTTACGGCTGTCGCCACTGAGCTGTCGTTGTACCTACAAATATAAACATGGCTATTCATGAGTTTGGTTTTCGTCATCGATCGTATATCCCCCGAGATTAAATGTGCGAGTGAAGAAGAAATATAATTTTCCTTACGATGAACAGTTGTTTCATGGAAAGTCATGAAACGCCTGAAAGTTGGGAATATTTCCTCAGTTTTATTAGCTCCGCTGTCGACTTTATCGAGCGGAGCTTGTCATATCAGTGATTGTCCGTTGTGTCCTTGTCAACTTTTTACTTTTTTGACTTTTTCTTGAAAACTACAAGTCTTATTGCTTTGATACTTAATGTATATGTAACTTGGGCGGACCTCTCTGTTGGATTTGTTCATTTCGTGATGGTATATTTAATTCTCCTATTTTGATGAATATTTTTGTAATTTTTGGTTTTTACATATTCTTTTACAGCCAAAACAAAGTCAGCTTAGACATTCAGTTGTAAGACATGACAAAATAAACGCTGCCAGTGATATTTTTTCGAGAATAAAAGAACAAAATAAACTTTAATATCCACTCAAGGCTATCTCAAAGGACTGCAGGGAATTTACCCTTACCGACTCATATTTATGAATTATACAGGATTCAGCTACCCAAGTGTTTGTAACAGAGTATATCTAAAAATGCGCGAAAAAAACGAACTTTCGCGTGCAAACTTCGCCAATGGTTCCCCGACACTGATTCCTTTTTAACTTTTAATTTTTCCAAGACGCGCGAACTCTGCTCATGACTGGAGACGTCGTCTTCGTTGATAACTCGCCAATTTACCATAATCGTGGTGGTGAACTGTTTAGCTGATGTTTCAAATGATGGATATTCAATTTATATTCATCCCAACTTATTTGAATATTCTTCCGGAAATTTGAGCCATTGTTAAAAAGATCCTGGACAAAAAACCGTTACAAGCATCAGCAGTAATTTTTAGTACTGCCTGAAGAATCGCGTAAATTCTTTGTTTTCATCAGACATATCTCAAAATTTCCGAAAGCATGTTCTTCTGCATTAAAGTCGGGCGAATAAATTGGAGTGATTATGTATACCAATATGATCTACAAATAGAACAGTACACCACCACGATTATGGTGAATTAGCGAGTTATCAACGACGACGACGACGTCTCCGGTCGTGAGAGCTGGCATACCGCCATCCATGTCATGTGTTTGCTGCGTCATTGAAAAATGTCAAAAAGGAATCCTTGAATATGTTGGTTTTCTACTTGTTGGTCCGATAATCTAATTTGCTTGCAAACTAGTTCATTAAGATTTACGAACATTAAATTTGTTATTACTGTGTTTCATTTCATTTATTGGTTTTCTCCTGAATTATGACATTTGATTGATTGTGCGCCATAATATTTTAATTCAAACACTACCAAACGCCGTAGATTATAAGTACAGCTGTATACCACTTGTAATTATTACGAAACGTTAATTAAACCCATCGCTAAAATGTAATTGTTACAGCTTATATTCGTATTATGTTTCATTTCAGAATTCGTCATTATGAAATTGATTACATTATTATCGCTATTAATGGGCTATTTTGCCGTCATTAATGCACGTGATTTAAGGGTACGTATAATTATTTGATATATAACAAATCATACAAAGTAAATTTCAGATCGAATCATTCCACGAGTCTGATATATTGGAATTTTTAATCACGTGTCAATCTGTACGTCTATGTACTTTTATCAGCACTTTGAGTAATTCTCTGGACAGTGTCTGCAATGATTTAATGTCATTAGACCGGTGTGTGTGTTTTTTTCATTCCATTAAACGTGGCCAATATTAATTCATGCTTTTCATCAAAATTGTGGATGTTGTGTTAAATATTGACTCAATAAAGTACGATTTCAAAATCACTAAATCGTTGGTATGGACATTTTTCTAGGTTGTCAAGAAACAAATTTCATTTGAATTATTGCGTATTGAGTGAATCTTTGAAAGGGTGTTCGTAAATATGGTTTTTAACTAAAATAGTGTAATACTTTTTATATACCTACTTATATATAATTTATACATTCAGCAGCAGATGGTAAATTTACCTCCCGATATATCAACAGGTGGGTGTTTATATTTAAATTTCTTGATTTTGTCAATTTCAGGGAGCTGAAATATTTCATGTTTAATAATGAATTTAAAACAAAAAAACATTATATTGTTATAGTTCTGTACACAGACACTGGCCACGAAAGCATATTTCCCTCTCTCGACATGATTATAGACACAATTTCGCGGTGTGCAGACTACCGATGATTTGTCAATTATTGTTGAACATTGTATTTTGGCACTTATTCCATGAAATTAAATGTCCATTCTTAGTCTTGATTGAACATTGATTCTGTAGAGTGTTTTTCTGTTTGATAGCCCTGTGTATGGTTGCGATATTGGAACCGTGTCCGAAGTACAGACATTTTCGTTGATATAAAACTTGGTTTAAATTCCTACCAAACATATGCTCGATTTACTTTCCCTGTACAATTAAATTTGCTGTATTACATTATACGCCTGGTTCAATGAACAATGGGTAATAAACACATTTGAAACAATTATTTGGACTAAATAAAATACTGTAAAACAGCAAAATACTAAGTGCATTGCGCTGCATTCGAGAAATGTTGTGATCAATGTTGTATGCTTGCAGAATAAGTGAGCATTATGTATCAACGTCGACTGTACACATATTAATTTAGAAAACATCATATATACCATTCCTTGTATTTCCAAGTGAGAGAATAGTCCACAAACTAAAAAATACATTTAGTTGATGTATGCATTTTCCTTTAATATAGAACCATTTGGATGTCTGATGGGAGATGGAACATTCTGGCCATCTGGTTCTTATCGTATAATGGACTGTGTCTTATGGTACGTACAAACATATATAATGCCACACATTATCTGTCATGTGGGCTTACGTAATATATGTTGTATGTGTTTCGATTGAAGTCAAAATTTACAATATTTGTTTTTTTTCTTAATTCAGTCAATGCAAAGGCACATTGTTTGTGTGTATTGATAAGATTTGTGGTGAGTTGTTTTAATCATAATATTTTTCCAAATCTTGTAAACAGGATAATTCTAAATTCTTACGTTTAAATCAATTACTAGCATGTTTAAAAAATCTGTTGTATTTCAGAGATTTATTCTCAAATCTGTGAAGGCAAAATTACTCAGTAATTTAACTCATGTGAAATAGCAATTCAGCATACTGCCCCTTTTTCTGTTACATCCAATCAAGACACTGTATTACCTTTTTGGGATTTTAAGACAATTATCATCCACCACACATGCTGATATGTAAATATTCTCGTTCTGTATCAATTATGTAATGAAGTTTCATATCTGTTATTCTCCACTCAATGATTGTAGAAACATTTGCTTTGTTTTTAAATCGATTTAAAGTGTGTGTTGATTGAGTATATACATAACCAAAAAA